GAGATAGGAGGCGTGACCGATCCTGCGGCTTCTTGGAGAAGGGTGAAATGAAAAAATGAGAGGGGTCTTTCTGCTCAGGAGGCACGACAGCCCTGCCTGCGGGCTGCCAAGGAATTGGACAAGTCTGAACCCGCGCTGGGCGCTCTCAGCTGCTGGTTGTCAGGCTGCGGTATTACCGTGGAAACGGCGGATTGCGGACCATCGGGGCTGTGGGAGCGCCAGGGACTTGGGACAGCGGGCTGCCTGCGCGCGGTGGAGCTCCCCAGCGATAGGGCGCACTACCCCAAGGGGCTACTTTGTGTAACTGCCACAAACTTAGCATTTTGTAAATCCTGTGTAATTAGGTGGGTTATGGAGTGTAATTAGGGCTTTATGGAGTGCTACTACAGCACTGAAGAAAGGAAAATAATATAAATACAATTAAATCATAGGTTATAGGGTACAAAGTGGCCTCAAGCAGGCCTTCCACAATGCTAAGGTAGGCACAACTCCACTCCAGGCACTTCAGATTGGTGACCATCTCACTAAAAGTGTCCAGGATTGGGATCTTTTGTCCCTACAGACAATATCTCATTATCTTTATATAGCCTTAATGTATAAAAGGTGCCATTTAAGCCTAATGTTTCTTGTCTTATCCCCACAAGGCAGAGAGAACAGATTTTCCTTTTTGTCTTTGTTGTTCCTGAAAAGGCAGACCCAAGGGAAGCATGATGCTGATCCCTCCATAATATGCTTTATTGCCCCACAATAAGAATTCACAAATAGAAGAGTTTAATAAAAAAATAAATATGCAGATGCATGGAGCATATTTTCAGTGTGGACAACTTTATTTTCTAGTTAATGGATACATTTACTTTTAAAATACAACTTTTTAAAAGGGTAAAAACTTAAAACGCATCTCCAAATTTAACACCTGATATGCAAAGACAGAATGCATACAAAAATACCACTTCTTCATTCTACTCGAAAAAGCATGTCTAGTTGCGTTACTTATGGACATTTGAATTAGTACCAAATTGTACAGAATTTTAGCTTCATTGCAAAATCCATTATTTTGGTATCCTTCACTTTGATGGATACATAAATAGAACATTAAGCAGCACATACCCCCTGACCCACTGAGAGAGAGGTATTTGAATGCCTTCTGCATGTTACCTCTTACCGGTCTGTGTAACTGTAGGCTTTGTGTGCAATGCTATTTTTCAGGAAAAGTTGAATATTTTGTTCCAGTTAAGTTAAGAACAAATACAAACGTGCCTTGAAGAGATATGCAGGCCAAGAGTAAGTGCATTGCATCATTTTTTATCACAATTAATTCCAGTCAAAATAGCATCTTTGGAAAGGAAACTGGAAGACTGTTGAATATTTAATTGCTTTTTCTAAATACCTGTATGAACAAGAACTGGAGGAGGTTTGAAAAATAACATAAGCCCACATTTCTGTCAAGTAAAAATCCATGCTCAAACTTCACAGTGCAGATGTTCTCTTGAGGAAAAAAAATTCCACTGCTATCATTTTTTACACCATCTTTTCCATAGTATGTGTTCTGCGTAAAAATTAGCTGAAAGCTCACTTAGCAGTTCCAGGTAGGATATTTTATTTTCTATCTAAAATGTACATCCACTTTAGAAAAGCAGTACAGCTTCTGAGAAACATGTTACTGGCCTTGTCCTGCATTGCTATGTGCTGTGTGCACTGGCAACAGTGGCTTATGTTCAGATTAAGGTAAATTGGGGCCACAGCCTGATAGGAAAGTTTTGTCAGTAATGTGGGCAGAAGTGCCAACCTCTTGTGTTTGGCCGGCGAATGGAAGGAGGGAGAATGAGGACAGGTAGCACTAAAAGCATGAATTGTCAAATTGCAGCCTGAGCCTAAGCATTAGTGTAAATAGAAATTAATACTCCCCTCTGAGGAGGAGCAGATCAGTCTGATTTGCTGCTTAAACACATGCCTCATTCTCAGCTTCACATGCAAATGGCGTATGTCTCTTTGTAAATACAAACCGGCGTTTCTCCTGGCTTGGACCAGAACATCAGTATCATCTAGGCTGAAGCCTGTATTGCATTTGAAATGAGCAACTTCACTGACTGTCATAAGGACTGAAGTTTTTGCCTCAATTGGAGAACAATGATGTCAGTGTGGTGCTGTTACCTACTATGCAACATACTGTCCAATTGACTGAAGGGTATAGGAGTTTTTTCCCTGATTTTTGATGGAGTTCACTCAGGTCCTTAGAACAGAATAATTTATTTAGTGCTTAGCTTTTAACCTGAGATTTTCCTCTAACATTACTTGCAGCAAAAATCTTCTCTGTCCAGTGTGATATAGGAAAATTTCTCTGACGTAATCAAACAATGGAGACTTAAATATGTGAACATACTGAAGCTAATTAGCCCACATTGTGAAACTTATTCCTGGACATTTTGTACAATTCTGTTATTATCTGTTCCCTCACCATCCAGTTTTTTTTTTTTTTGATTAAAAATATTAATGTAGTGCTAAAAAATTTAAGGTAGCCATATGTTTTCCATCAAAACACATTTCTTCTTCATGAAAAGTAAGAACATTGATTTCCTGCATATCTACTTTATATAGTCCTGAAGTAAGGATTAGAGTTTTGTGGGTCAAATCCTTTATCTTTTGTAAATTATTGCACTTGTGCATTATGGACTGTCAAATTTAAAAGAACAGCAGTGTTTTGATGTCAAATATTAAAAGAAAAATATGCTATATAAAAATATAACTATTCATAAAACTAAATAAACGCCTATATTCCATTTAAAAAAAACAAACACCATAAACCTGTACACTAGGTCACATTCTGACTTTCTTACTTGCACTCAGTAGCAGCCAGTTCTACAGATCCCATTAAGTACTTGGGGACTAAGGTTTTCCTTAATCTAATTTATGTCATGATCTGTCTCTTGATGAAAGATATGTAACCCAGCCAAAATAATCTTCTGTGTATACTTCGTTTTAGGGACGATCATTAATAATAGTGCATGATTTATTACCATGGGATTAACACAGAACTAATGAACCCATATCCAAGGGTCTTTTCTATTGAAACTTATCCTATTTGAAGTTTTATAGTAGTTCAGTGCCATTTTCTGTTCATGTGACTGCTTCACCTGTCACAGTTATCTAACAACCTGCAGCAATTTAAGAAATTGCTTGGAAAAAATGATCACGACAGTTTTCAAGACTTGTCAGCACGTATGCTCACAGTAGCGTTCTAGAATTGCAAAGCCTTCCCCAGCTAGAACTCCTGCCCTCTCGCTAGGCATTGTACAAATACAGAACAAAAGGCTTGCCATCCAAAGATTTTGGTCTCTTCCGCTTTCCTGGGCAGACCACAAAGCACCTTTTCATCCTATACACACAGATAAAACAGTGTATAGCACCTCTGCCTCACTAGTCCCAAAACTGAGCACATAATTCATAACAGTCTTCTGATTTTTTTTTTTTTTATCGATATATCATAATGGAAAGTGCTTGCTGAATCAAGGTCCAGAATATTTCCAGGATAATGTTAGCTAAAATTTGGAGATTTCTAGAGATCTATATCATTCAGACAAACAATCAGGGTTTTCTTCAAGTGCAAAGATTGGTTTCATTGCAGGAAATGCTTATATAGTACCGGTGCATAAGTGTTGCTGTGAGTTCACAGGTAAGACAGTACCAGCAGTCCGTCCTCATGAAGCAAGTCTGCGCATAGCCTAGTGAAATGATTTTCAAAGGGTGGAGACAGACCATGGTTAGTTCTGAGTACACACAGCTTGGAAAAATAAAATGTTTGTGTATGTGTTAACTAAAAACTACTAAGTTCAACCTGGCCTCAGCGAAAGTACAGAGAAAGTAACTGTTCTGAGGCAGCATCCCTCTGACGTGTGTCTGCACTGGACAATTCAGTCAGGAAGCTGCAGGTCTGAAGGTTACTAGCTCTCACCTTCAAAATGTGGCTATAAAAGCGCAGGACAGAAACCTCTCAGAACACTCTTTGACCTTGGATTGTTAGTTTTGTGTCTGGCTTCTTTTCTTATTTAATGACAATGGTATCTAAGCAATCCTGTGAATAGAAATGGGAATTTGAGTCTTTTTGGCCTGCCATTCCCAAATGCTTCTGTTACAGAATCATGGTGTCTTTCTAGCTTTTTTAATCCTTCATTCCTTTCTGCACTGTGACTTAGAGAGGAGTGGAAAGTGCTTCTCCCCCTATTAGTGATGAAGAATAATAATTGGGTCTCTTGCAATATTCATACCAACCAAAAAAGGAGGGGGTTAATCAGGAGTACCAAGTATCACAGTCCACTTACCAAGCCCTGATGAAGTCTGAGAGGCTTTTGCTTAGGATCTCAGTTTCTCCTCTCACCAATCTGCTTTCCAAGCTGACCTTACCTTTTCCTACAGGACTTCATGCTATGGTAGAAACTATAATGCAGGGTGATGCTGAGAATCTCTACCCAACCACAACCTTCTCTTTCCTACTTGCCTCCAGGCACCTCTACATCCCACATGCACAGCAGTCTTGCTGCCGCGTTTTGCTAGAGCATGACAGAGAGAAGGGTCACAGCATGCCTCCAGCCCCTTTCCATTACTGCTGCTGGAGAAGAGTGGCCGAGCACAGGGCGCTACCCCATTTTAGCCAGGGAATTAAGAATGGAGTTCTGTCTACTACCACAGTAGCACAGTAGGAGGGACACATAATAGTCATGCCTTTACCTACATGGAGCATTGTAATGCTTCCAAGGTACTGACACATCACAAGTTTAATCCATCTCAGGCTACAAAAGGGCATTTAGCCCAAGCTCCTATTTTTTGAATAAGTGGCCTGCATGCTGCACTGTTATTTTACCAGTAAGTGCTACCTTATTTTCTGGTAGTATTTTGTAAATACAAAATACCATGGTATTGCTTTAATGGACTTATGTTGTTGCATGTTAGTTATGTTCAGTACACTGCTTTGCTGCAGCTTCCCGTAAAATGTTTAGATTGTGCAAGAAGATGCCTGCTGTGTTAAATGGAGGAATTAAGGGTGAAAGTTGGCCATAATTTTGGACTCAGGTGCCTCAAGCCTTAGCAAGCATTCTCTTAGGCACCTAACTCAGGCCTGCATAAGGCAAAAGAGTCCTAAAGTGACAGAGATCAAGAGGTGATTGTGCACATACAATCTACTACATCTCAAAAAGACCCCGACTTCCTCCACTAAGCACTGACATCCAGGTGCCCAAATAGGGTATTTATTTATGGAGAAGGCTCAGTTCATCTACCATACTCTCACAGCATGACTCAATGCAAAGGAATAAAGCCAGCAGTATTCTACAAGTAATAGATACATTCAGTTTTTAAATGCATACCTCTTCCTGAACATCAAGTTCATCATCAGGACGGGTTGTTTCTGTGAATTCTATGGGTTCTTTAGACTCCTGCATGAGTGAAATCTTGGTAGAAAGAAATTCAGAAACATGATGAGTTACGCATTGTCTGTATCACTGAAGTTCATTTATTACTCTGAAGTACCTTAATATAACTTCCACAACTCAAAAGAGTCTGTTTGTATTGACAAAGCTGTTGCTTTAAGTTCTGCTAAGAGGAACTTAAATGTTGGAGGGCTTTTGGTCCTGCCTCTCTTGATACAACTAGTTATGGCTTTGTAAAAATAATAAAAGCAGAGTCGATTTCTGGACTGCTGTATGGCTTTGTCAAAATGTTAATCTTGGCTGTAAGACAGGACAAAACTTCTAGATCCTGGGTAATGAGCAAAAATTATCAAAAAGATAAAGCCTCCATCATAATTATTTAACAGTAATATTAGTTTTAATTACTATCTATTCATAATACTATAATAGCGACTACTAGGGAAGGAATTGTGAAAAGACAGGAGAACATCATATGGCCATTTTTCTAATGTGGTCCAACATCTTTAAACACTACAGAGTGTTCTGATTATCTCAAAACCCACAGAATACAACTAGGAAATGCACAGAGAAGGGCAGTAGGAATGAACATTAGCATGGAACAGCTCCCATGCACACTCACACCAAGCAGAATGGGACTCTTCAGCTTTGATCACAGGTATATGAAATTATTATTAGTGTTGGGAAAGGGAGCAGAGAATGATTTTTCATTGCAGCTAACAATCCAGAAATC